AGCCACTGTGTCAATCCAACTTGTTGAGGGCCTTCCCCTTTTTTTGTTGACCCTCCATTTTACCAAGCATGACATCCTTCTCCAGAGAATATATATAGCTATACCTTTATAACCCAGGCCCATATAAAATCACTATGTGTGGAAGACAGGCAAATCTCTAGGGTATGTTCTGATAGCATAGTGCCGAAGGTACTTGACTGCTAACCAGAAGACTGGTGGTTCAAACCCATCAGCCACTTCTGGGAAGGAAGGTTGGGCAATCTACTTCTGTAATGATACCGCCATGGAAACCCAAGGAGGGGTTGCTACGCGTCAGGTCTGACTGGATGGTACATAACAACAACAACAACACTGGTAAATGCACCGGATCACAGGATTGAATTCTTTCAGCAATGTCACTGATTTGTTGAGTGAGCCTGTGATTAACAGGTGTTTTTTTTTTCTCTGGGAAAGGAAAATATTTCTTGCCCACTTTGTCATAGAAATGGGATAATGGAGGTGACAGTGATTTCTATAGGGTAAAGCTCTAGTGGTGAGGTGGTTAAAGCATTCTGCTGTCAACTGAAATGTTGGCAATTGGAACCTACCAGCCACTCAATGGGAGAAAGATGTCACATTCTGCTTCTGTAAAGAGTTACAGCTTTGGAAACCCTATGGGGCAGTTCAGTCAACTCCATGCAATGGTTTTTTTTTTTTTTTTGGAAAATCTTCTATTGATACAGAATACCATTACCATTTTATATTCAAGTTTTAGGCTTGTATAGAGTTGTACATGGAAATTTAAAAATATGTATGCATTTAAAACAATAAGTTCCTTAAATAACAGGAGAAAAAATTTCCAATGCTAATATAAGTAATTTTTGATCAGAATTCTTAAAAAGATACATTTAGAATGGATAACCCAGATATTTTGTTTCTGAAAATTGTAAAAATAGTGACAGAGTGTTGGCAAAATGGTTTTGACACAGACGACTTACAAAATTTCCTTTACGTCCATTAGTATTGTAAGCTACCCTTTGCAGTGCTTGGCTGGGATTTTCTTTTTTTTAATTAAAAAAATTAAATTACATTGTAGTGAAATATATATAACAAAACATTTGGACCTGCCTGAATCCACAGCAACTCTTTGTGGTACCAGTGTGCTTTCATAAACACACTCAAGGCAGCCATATAGATTGATTTTTGGAAAATGCTGGAAATGTTTTCAGCCCACAAAATACCCTCACTCATGTCTTTAATAATACAGACTAACACTTTATTTTGGAACATGAAAATAGAGTGCTAGGAAGAGATTGTCTTTTTTTTTTTTTTTTAAACTTTGCTAACTACCTAATTTATTTGCCGTCTAGCTCTATTTTGCCATTGCAAGCATTGGGATTCTGACTTTATTTACATTATTCCTGTTTGTATCCCTGTATCATGTCTTGTGGGAGAGTGTAGTATAATGGGTTTCTCTTTATACATGGCCTTTTTGGCTCTGGCTTTGTAGTTCTGCCAAGATGATTTGCTAGGTCACAGCATTGTAGGAATTGGACAGTGTACTATGCAAATAAGGTGTGTAAAACCCTTGTGGGGATTGGTTGATTACTATGCAAATTAGGTGACCATGGCCTAATGAGGGGATTGGTCAGTTAGTGGTCTTGGTGGGAAGAGAAGCCTTATAAAAGGGCCAGTCCCACAGAGGTTGAGGGGACCTCACTATTATCAAGAAGAAAAGCCTGGAGTTAAGCATGTCCTTTGCATCTAGGGTTCTGTGCTGAGAACCTCCTAGACCAAGGAGACAGAGCTGAACACTGCAGAGACACAAGACAGAGCACAAGGCAGAGATCCAGGGGACTGGTGTGAGATGGCTGTGGTGGGCATCCTGGCCCCAAGAGTGAAAGCTGAGTGTCTTTGATCAGGAGGTTTACTGGCAGTGTGGGATGTCTCTGGACACTTGTTGGCGGAGCCAAAGAGCTGTAACATTTGCCCAAGCAGATCAGAGGCTGAGAGGAGGCTAGCATAGCTCAGAGAAGGCTCTGTTAGCTCATTCAAGAGAAGGCTTGCCAGGCCAAGAAGTGTGGCCTGCGTGTAGATATGGCCAAGAGGGAGCTGAGAGGCCTTTACTTCCCTAATGAACTCCATGACTGTGAGTGAGTATGGTCTCTGAGTTCTGTGTGGCCATTGCAACAAATGATCAAACCTAGCAGAGAAGTAAGGTACTCTGGTGGCATAGTGCCTAAAGCATCTGACTGCTAACCAGAAGGTTGGTAGTTCAAGCCTACCAGTCACTCTGTAGAAGGAAGACTGGGCAATCTACTTCTGTAAAGATATATTGCCTTGGAGACCCAAAGGGGGTCAGTATGAGTTGGAATCAATTCGATGGCAGTGAGTTTGGTTTTATTTATTTATTTATTTTTTAGTTTAGCAGAGAAATAGAGAGTGCCATGGGCTGGACTGCTGATGTCAGAATAGGTAAAAAGTTTGAGAGTGCAGGTATATCTCATCTTTATATTGTGGAATCAGCTTTGGGCTGATCCTGATTCTTTTTGTCCCTCAGGAATTTGGATAACTTCTGATGCTAGGATATCTCAGAGGAAAAGTGCCATCCTTTGTCTTAGTTTGCAGGCTGCTATGGCCAATGAATTTAGTGGGATTTGCAGAAAAACACTTACTGTTTTTTCATTAGAAACATTTCCATACAATCGTAAAACATCTCATGCTAGTTTTAGAAAATTTACAAGATATACTACAGAGAGGGAGCTCTGGTAGCATAGTGGCCAAGGCACTTGACTGCTAACCAGAAGGCTGGCGGTTCAAACCCACCAGCCACTCCTTGGAAGGAAGATGGAGCAATCTACTTCTGTAGTGATACTGCCTCACAAACCCAAGGAGGGGTCGCTATGAGTCGGGGCCGACTTGACGGCACATAACAACAACAACTATAGAGAAGAAAAAAATAATTTATAATGCCACATGGAGTGAACTGCTGTAACATGTTAAAATCAAAACCAAACTCACTTCCATCAAGTCAGTTTGACTCATAGTGAACACTTCTTGGGTTTCCGAGGAGGTATCTCTATAGAAGTAGGTTGCCCGGTCTTCCTTCCGAAGAGTGGCTAGTGGGTTTGAATGCTAACCTATGTGTGTTTAATATTTTCATGCATTTTTGTATTAGTTATATCGTATTTAATATGTTTCCTTTTTGATCATTGAGCATTATTATATAATCATTTCATGGTGTTATGACTTTTTTGTAAACATAATTTTAAATGGCTACTTAATATATGAGGAAGCAGAGGCAGGGATCCAGGGAAAGCCAGGGACCCAGGCCACAGCCCTCCCAAGTGGTGGGAAAGCAGAGAAAAAGCCGGGGCAAGGGAGAGGGTGAGACCAGGACAGAGCAAGGAATCAGAGGCAGGGATCCAGGTAAGGCCGGGGACCCAGGCCACGGCCCTCCCAAGTGACGGGAAAGCTGGGGAAAGCAGAGAAAAAGCTGGGGGCGGGGAGAGGGGACTGAACAGGACAGAGCAAGAAAGCACAGGCAGGGATCCAAGTAAGGCTGGGGACCTAGGCCATGGCCCTCTTAAGCTGCGGGAAAAAGGCAGGGATCTATGTAAGGGGAGCGTAGGGAGGGTGGAGAGGTTTTGAACAGCTAAGGAAGACAAACTTGTCTGTCAGTTTGTCCTACTGTAGTGGCGTGTTGCTGTGAGGCTTGAGATTGTGCCACTGGTGTCTCAAACCCAGTAGAGTTGCACATGGTACACAGGTTTCAACAGCTTACAGATTGAGACAGACTAGGAAGAAGGAGGAGGCCATCCACTTCTCAAAGAATTGGCCAGGGAAAACCTTGTGAATAGCAGAGGAATACTGTCTGATACATTACTGTGCAACTTTATGAATACCCCAGAAACATTGTCCGATATAGTGCAGGAGGATAAGCCAGTTAGGTCAGAAGGCTCTCACAGTAGGACCAGGAAAGAGCTGCATCATCAGAGTAGAACCAGCCTTCTTGTTGTTATGTGCCATTGAGTCAGACCTGACTCACAGCGACCCCTTCTTGGGTTTCCAAGGCAGTATCACTATGGAAGTAGATTGCCCAATCTTCTTTCTGAGGATTTGCTGGTGGGTTTAAACCACTAGGCTTCTAGTTAGCAGCCAAGTGCCTTAGGCACTATGCTACCAGAGCTCCTAGAACCAGCCTTAATGATACAGATACGGTAAAAGCTTTCGAGACCTCCATATGCTGTCATAACATGACTCAAATTGAGGAGAAACAGCTGCAAACATCCATTAATAATCAGAACATGGAATGTACAAAGCATGAATCTAGGAAAATTGGAAGTTGTCAAAAATGAAATGGAGGTCATAATGACTGATAATCCTAGGCATTAGTGAGCTGAAATGGATGGGTTTTGGCCATTTTGAATCAGACAACCATGTGGTCTACTGTGCCACAATGAAAATTTCAAGAGGAATGGCGTGGCGTTCATCATCACAAAGGATGTTTCAAGATCTGTCCTGAAGTACAATCTGTCAGTAATAAGATAATATCCATATGCCTACAAGGAAGACCTGTTAATATGACTATTATTCAAATTTATGCACCAACTACCAAAACCAAAGATGAGGAAATTAAAGATTTTTATTAGCTTCTGCATTCTGAAATTGACCAAATGTGCAATCAGGATGTGTTAATTATCACTGGTGACTGGAATGCAAAACTTGGAAACGAATAAGAATCATGGGTAGTTGGAAAATTTGGCCTTGGTGGCAGAAATGATGCTGGAAATTGCATAATAGAATTTTGCAAGATCAACAACTTACGTATTGCAAATACCATTTTTCAGCAACACAAACGGTGGCTATACACGTGGACTTTGCCAGATGGAATACACAGGAATCAGATTGACTATATCTGTGGTAAGAGGCAATGAAAAAGTTCAGTATCTTCAGCCAAAACCAGGTCAGGTGCTGATTGTGGAACAGACCATCAACTGCTCAAATACAAGTTCAACTTAAGTTAAAGACATTCAAAACAAGTCCACAAGAGCCAAAATATGATCTTGAATATATCCCTCTGGAATTTAGAGACCATCTAAAGAATAGATTTGATGCATCGAACACCAGTGACCAAAAACCAGAAGAATTGTGGCATGACACCAAGAACATTATCCATGAAGAAAGCAAGAGATCACTAAAAAGATGAGAAAAGAAGAAAAGACCAAAATGGATGACAGAAGAGACTTGGAAACTTGCCCTTGAGCAGAGAGTAGCTAAAGCAAATGGAAGAAATGAGAAGATAAAAGAGCTGAACAGAAGATTTCAAAGAGCAGCTTGAGCAGACAAAGCCAATTACTATAATGAAATGTGCAAAGACCTGGAGTTAGAAAACCAAAAGGGAAGAACATGCTCAGCATTTCTCATGCTGAAAGAACTGAGGAAAAACTTCAAGCTTCGAGTTGCAATATTGAAAGATTCTATGGGCAAAATAATGAATGATGCAGGAAACATCTAAAAAAGATGGCAGGAATACACAGTCACTGTACCAAAAAGAACTGGTAGATCTTCATCCATTTCAGGAGCTGCCATATGATCAAGAACCAATGGTACTGAAGGAAGAAGTCGAAGCTGCACTGAAGGAATTGGTGAAGAACAAGGTTCCAGGAATTGATGGAATATCTATTGAGATGTTTCAACAAACATGCCCCACTAGAGGCACTCACTTGGTTATGCCAAGAGATTTGGAAAACAGCTAACTGGTCAACTGATTGGAAGAGATCCATATTTGTACCCATTCCAAAGAAAGGTAATCCCCACAGAATGTGGAAGTTATTGAGTAATATCATTAATATTGCAGGCAAGTAAGATCTTACTGAACATAATTCAAAAATGGTTGCAGCAGTATATTGACAGAGAACTTCCAGAGGTGCAAGCTGGATTCAGAAGAGGACGCGGAACAAGGGATATCATAGTTGCTGTCAGATGGATCCTGGCTCAAAGAAAAGAACACCAGAAAGATGTTTACTTGTGTTTTATTGACAATGCAAAGACATTTTATTGTGTAGATCATGACAAATTGTGGATGACATTGAAAAGAATGGGAATTCCAGAACACTTGATTGTGCTCATGAGGAACCTATACATTGACCAGGAGGCTGTTTTTCAAACAGAACAAGGGGATGCTACATGGTTAAAATGCAAGGGAGGGCGTCAGGGTTGTATCCTTTCCCCAAACTTACTCAATCTGTATGCCAAGCAAATAATCCAAGAGGCTGGACTTTATGAAGAAGAACGTGACATCAAGATTGGAGGAAGAATCATTAACAACCTGCGATACACTGATGAAACAACTTTGCTTGCTGAAAGTGAAGATGACTTGAGGCACTTACTGATGAAAATTGAAGTATATAGTTTGAAGTAGGGATTACATCTCAATATAAAGAAAAAAATCCTCACAACTGTACCTATAAGCAGCTTCATGATAAATGGAGAAAAGATTGAAGTTGTCAAGGACTCCACATTGATTGGTTCTACACTTGATGCCAATGGAAGCAGCAGTTAGAACATTAGATGACATATAGCATTGAGCAAGTTGGCTGCAAGGGACCTCTTTCAAGTGCTGAGGATCAAGGATGTCTGTTTGAGGACTGAGATGTGCCTGACACAAGCCATGATATTTTCAGTCACCTCATATGCATGTGAGAGCTGGACAGTGAATAAGGAAGACCAAAGAAGAGTTGATGCTTTTGAGTTGTGGCTGGTGAAGAATGCTGAAAGTACCCTGGACTGCTAAAAGAACTAAGCGATCTGTCCCGGAGGAAGTGCAGCCAGAATGCTCCTTGGAAGCGAGAATGGCCAGACTTTGTCTCACCTACTTTGAGCATGTTGTCTGAAGGGACCATTTTGCTGGAGAAGGATGTCATGCTTGGTAAGGTGGAGGGTTGATGAAAGAGGGGAAGGCCCCAAATGAGATGGACTGACATAGGGGCTGCTACTATGGGCTCAAGAATAGCAAGGATCATGGAGCTGGCACGGGACTGGGTGGTGTTTCGTTCTGCTGTGCATAGGGTCTCTATGAATTGGACATGACACGATAGTTCCTAACAACAGCAACAACTTAATATATCAGTTATGGCTGTGTTGTATTTTCTATAATTATTTTCACGTTGTTTGACTTTTTGGTCAACTTCTGTGAAGAGCATCTTTTGTGCATGCAAAGCATTTTCCGTACAGGACTACTTAGAAGCTAGGTCTAAATGTTCAAAGAATGTGATGCTACTAGGCAATGCATTCAGTTATTTATTTACTCAGAAAAATATTCCTTTAGTGTTTATCTTAAAACAACCTTTAGGAAACTTAATTTAAGAGGGAAAGACTTGTAAGTAAATTGGCAGTATTAATACAGTCTTAAAAGGTTTATCCCAGAGGTAGATATTGGATGATATGGAGCACCCAGTAAGAGAAGGAGGGAGGACATATGGTAGTGCTTCTTGAAGGAAGTATGCCTGGGCAGAATCTAACTCTCGTTCTGATTGCTGTTTGTGTTTAGTGGAACTTTAATCTGACTTCAGAGACGATGCTCAGTCCACAATACCATTCTGTCTCATATTTCCTGTTTATTTTTAGAGCTGTGTATTATCTCTTCTGAGAATTTCTGGATAGGCCATTTAGACCCTTCTTTTCAAAGAAAAGTAAAAAATGTTGATTCTGACAAATTCAGATAAGTTTACCCAAACCAAGCAAGAGACTGGTATATAAACATTTACTATTTCTCATTGTCATTGGCTAAAAGTCCAGCTCTTCAGTTGGTACACAAGAAGCTTCAGGATCCATACCCTGATGACTACTTCAGTTTCTCGGCTGGCTTCTCTCTTTCATCTTTAACTCGTATTAACTACTTGCCATACCCGTGCTTCTCATGATGCTGAGCTCTAAAATATGCTGTGCCCACTGTCAGGAGGCCCTTCTCTGTTCTTTACTGATTCACTGGAATCCAAGCTTAGCAATTCTAAAGCAGCGCTTAGAACTTACTCATTTCATTTTGACCTCCTGCTGAGGACTTAACATTTCTACCCTAGATATGCTGAATTAGAATATATATTGTAACAAGATCTGTAAGAATCACCTGGGGATCTTTTTAAAATGTAGATTTTGATTCAATATATCTGGGATGGAAAAGCAAATTCTTAGCAGGAGGTACAAACTGGAATGGAATGGAAAGTCTTGTTCGAAAGTGGGCTTTTATGTGGGCTTGTGAGGAAAGAGATATTTTTACTTTCCATATTTTTTTTGCTCCATGCTTTCTTAGTTATGAGTGTTCATCACATACCCGGGGGGTGAGATATTTAGGTTTTGAGGGCTCTAAGCCAGCCAATAAAGTCATGAAATCGACCATTGTGTCAATGTTGTGCTTCTGAGTGGTTGTGTCTTTTAACATACATAAGACAATTAACAAGCTAAGAGATGAGCTCAGAGATGTTGGCTCGGAGGAAAAGAAAGATCACATTGAGGTCATTGATGGGGCATCCCGGCATCTTTCTGCTGAGGAGATCAAAAGCTGGAAGCATCTCATAGATAGACACGAGTCGTTTGTCCCACCTACATAGCCGGGTGAGGTTGTATAGTATCACTGGGACCAACAGGGTGTATATTGCTACGCTGGAGAGGCTAACAATCTGGAAGACAGACAGGAAAGTTAGCCTGCACATGATCAGATGAGGGACGTAGGTCTCATCACTTAGCAGCCCTCTCTTGATGGAGCAGCTGAATTCCTCTTGGAAGAAGACATCCAGGTGGAAGTGGCCAAGGTACAGGTAGGTGGCTGAGGTGAAGAGGAGTAGGAGGGCATTCCTGAGGAGGTAGGTAGCCACTAGTGAATGTGAGCGCTGCTTACATGCCAGGTAGTGCTCTAGCAGGGGGAATTCAAAGTATCATTCTTTCCGAGCCCTGGGCAGGGGAAGAAAGGAGGCGAGGTTAGGAGAGATCATTCAGAACCATATCCTTAGAAAGCCATGTGGGGAAGTGACAGAGGATCTGTGTATCCAACAAAGCACTCTTGGTTAATATGAAAACTCACCTCTGAGCATAACTACTGTTCCCAAGTACTGAGTACAGTGCAATAAATACAGTGAATCATTCGTGGTTAATGAATAGTCACACTGAATTTCTGCTTACCAAGGCAGTCTAAACATTTAAGCTGAATTAGGCTCCTTAGGAAGCAATAAGGCTCATTAGCACTAGACTGGGTGTTTAAGGAACTACATTTTGGTTCTGGGCCTTTGTACTCTATTTACACAGATAAACAGCTATTTGCTGAGAGCTGTGGTGTTCTCTAAAGAAAATTTGGTGGGGAATGGGTAGATAGGACAGGCAATGATGAAATAAAAATAGCAAACAAAATAGATTTGTTGGTGAAAAGATGGATATAAACCAAAGTAGTTGCAAAAGTTAGGAGGCAGAGGTAGCAGTGTGGGCTAAAGTGTTCTGATACCTTTCTGGAGAATATTAGGTTGAGCTGGGCTTCAAAAGATAGATAAGGGTCAGAAAGGTAGAGAGGAGAGGAACTTTTTTCAGAGAGTAGATTATGCGAAGAAAGAAGACATGATATGACTTTAAATCTTTGCTCAGATATCCTCTTGGTGGACCTACCCTGGCCATCCTATTTAAAACTATACCACGTGTCAACCTCCCAGCTCTGCTGACCTCCTTTGCTTTTTTCTTCATTCCACTTACCATCTTCTAACATATAATTATGTGTTAAGCTTGTTTTTTGCCTTTTTGCTTCATAAAGGAGACCTGGTGGGAGAATGGTTAAAGTGCTTGGCTGCTAATCAAGAGGTCTGTAGTTTGAACCCACTTGTCACTCCATAGGAGAAAGATGACCATAAAGATTCACTGTCTTGGAAACCGTATGAGGCAGTTCTGCTCTGTCTTGTGAGGTTGCTGTGAGTCAGAGTTGACAGCAGTGGCTTTGGTTTTCCCTCAATAAAACGTAAGGCCCAAAGAGGTAAGCATGCATTTGTTTCCACATCCTCATTTCCCCCTGTGATAGTTGGAGCTGTGTGTCAACTTGGCTGGACCCCAGTTCTGTGTGGTTGTTCCCATGATGGGATCAGATGACTGTGTTCTGAGTGGCCAGTCTGCCCAAGGGGAGTTTCCCTAGGGGTGTGGCCTGCTTCCAGGATATCCAGGGACATCCTGGGAAGAGAGACATTCTTGGAGGAGTTGGGACCCTGGTGTGCTGACTACAACCTTCCGTGAGTGACCAGCCCACCGCTTGGCATGGAGATCTTGGATACGTCTTTTGTTGGAGTCAACAACAAGTGTACTTCCTGCCAGCCTTGAATTTCTTGGCCCCCTGCATTTACGGAAGCTAAGACTGCCGCCAGCCCGACATTTACTCCAGGGACTTTGGACTTGCCGGCTTCTATACGTTTGTGAGCCATTTTCCTAAGATAAATTTCTCTCTCTCTCTCTCTCTCTATATATATATATATATATATGCTTTGCTGGTTTTCGTGTTTCTTTAGAGAACCCAATCTAACACACCCCCCTTTACCACCAGCACATACACATTAATATATCCAAATAACCAGATTTGTTTCATTCTGTTATGTAAGATTGCTTTGAGCCAGAACTGACCCGATGGCACCTAACAAGAACAACATGTACCATATGGCCATGTCAAATAAAGGAAGAAATCGAGCTGTGACAATGCCATTCTCGTAAGAGATAATGTTCTCCAATATAAAGTTGGTAATGTAAAGTGTAGCAGGCTGGAACAGCAGGAGAAAGGGAATAAAAGTCAGGAACCCGGACAGAAGAGCAGTCAGCCCCAGGGTTACAGGTGAGGAGAGAAAACTCAGGACGCCCAAAGTAGCAGGCAGGAAGAGCAGGAGAAAGGGGATTAAAAGCCAGGAAGCCAGAGAAAAGAGCAATCAGCTGAAGGGATTAGGTGAGGAGAGGAAACTCAGGCCCACCCAGAGTAGCAGGCTGGAAGAGCAGGAGAAGGGATAAAAGCCAGGAACCCGGACAGAGGATCAGTCAGCCCCAGGGACACCCAAAGCAGCAGGCCAGAAGAACAGGAGAAAGGGGATTAAAAGCCAGGAAGCCAGACAGAGGTACAGCCAGCCACAGGGACCCAGGTGGGGGTGATACGAGAGGTCTCCAACAGCAAGACAAACTTGTCTGTCAGTTTGTCCTACTGTGGTGACATGTA